CACACACACACACACACACACACACACACACACACACACACATACAGACAACCCTCTCATCAATATGCTTTTTCTGCATTGCATAGATGCAAAAAAATGCATACAAACTGTATACGATGGATTAAGCACTGCGCACAATCCACAGTGTATAATTATATTCCCTTCAGCATTTGTACTCTATCGTAGCATACATAGTACATTTCGCTGTGGGGAGAAATTTTGAATTAAGTTTACTTTTCTTTTAAATTACTTGGAGTCTTCATATTCGAGAGGAACTGGGGTTTAACTGATTGGGATATTCATATTCGGAAAAAACTATAGTTTAACGGGGTTTTTTTTTCCAGGATCGATCTTGAATAGCCAAGGCGGTCCGGCTTCTATGCTCAGTTATAACAGTGAACGCGGTGGACCGTCCAGTGTTATGAATGTTGGTGGAAATCCCGGTTCTGTGTTTCAAGTATGCTTCAACTATGTTTTTGCTCTGAATTTTCTCTTTTTTTTTGCTCCGAACGTATCATTGGGCATAGGCTTCTCCCTAATCCCACATACACAACTCTTCCTTTTCTCGAGTTCTCAATCTCTTTTTCTATTAATCCGTCATACTGACGAGGTTCTGTCGCAGTGTGAGTTAAGACGTATATGACTTAATAGACCGAAATGTCTTATCTCATTCTTGCCTCCTTCCCTCATTTTTTCCTGCTTTTTATATTCAATTCGCCTTCAACACTTCGGCATCTGAGGTCTACCTGGATGCTACAGAGGACTTAGCGCTGAAAAACTGTATTAGTTGTTTGATTCAACTTATTTTGCTTTACCCTTTCCAGCTCAGCGATGTTTCAGGACTTGAATCCGGCATCGGTTGGACCAGGAAATCTGGCAGTACCGATGACTCCGCTTGCTGGTGATCATTTTCAGCCGGCCTCGAATATTCCCACGGTTTCGATGAATCCACCACAGACTCCTGCCTCGCTGCTCGATGTTCCATCGCCAGCACTGCAGAATATTGTTTCGACTGTAAATCTAGGTTGTCTCTTTTACTGGGTTTTTTTGAGTTTTTTGCTGTGCAATAGCTGCACAAAACACATATTGTCACCCGGTTGTCCGTGTGTGTCTGCTTGTGTGTATGTGTATGTTTGTGTACCATGTGTGTGTGTGTGCGTGTGTGTGTGTGTGTGTGTCCATCCGATGCATTTTGCTTACTGATGTATCAAGTTTTTTTGCGTTTTTTGCGTCTGGCGCCCAACGGTTTTGCTATCTTCTAGTTAGATTGCGGATAACAGTTGGCCTGTGCGGGGAGCAGCTGTGGGAGCACGCGCACCAAACTAGTAAACAGTGCTTTATTTAAAAAAAAAAGAAAGCGAGAAAAAGCTTAAAGCTGCCGTAGCACAACTTTTTTTATTCAACAAAATCCACATTTTATTTCTAATCACCACATTAAATATCACGGAGGGGAAACTCGAGTTAAGAGACAGGACATTTGCATATCACAAGGAATCGAAAGGCAACTGGGCTCGGCGAAGAGGTTTAGCCACCAAATTCGTTTTCTTGCTGCCAGCACCTTCTTCCTTTTGCAACAGCTGGACAGTATGAAACTAGGCTTTAGAATTCGCCATTTTCGATAACTGTGCAAGCTGCTGGCATTCCTAGAGCACAATGAAATGCATCAATTGTATTTGTGGTGTTCTTTTAGTTTTTATGCGTTTTTTGCAGTTATGCAATGCAAAAAACGCATATTGACGAGAGGTTG